AATTATCAGAACTGAGTGAACTGAGAATAATTATTATTCTTATGACTTTGTTCAAAATATTGCTGATTTTTCAAAAAAATATTTTTGTTTTCCAGATATAAATGTCTTAATCTCCAAGTTATTGTTATAAATCAGACGTGCTCAAAAGCATATGAGGACTGATGAATAGTGGGAGTGAGAGCAAATGAAGACTCTGGAGTAACCACCAAGGGATGGGGACCTGTTTACTGCACAGGTAGTGACCCTTGCTCTGAACACGGCTCCATGATCACGTGCCAGGTACTGTCAAATTGGCCTTCAAGATCGTACCGATTTACAAATCCACCAATCACATGGCTGCCCATCCTATATAATAAAGAGGGGATATGCAAATTGACCTGTCACTCTGCCACAAAGAAGGTGGCGCCCACAGCGGAGGCGGAGGGTTTTCATAACACAAGATGGCTGCACCCACAGTGGAGGCCGAGTTCCCGTAACGTGCCTTAATGAGCAATCAGCAGGGACCTGAGGCTGCGAGCCCCCCCACCCCCATGGGCTTGACGGAAGACCTCAGGTTTTGCTCCCCGCCCCGGCACCAGGCTGGGGGACCTGAGGCCACACCCCCCACCCCAGCGCCAGGCTGGGGGACCTGAGGCCGTACCCCCCCCTCCACCTGGCAGGGCTTGACGGGGGACCTGAGGCCGCACCCTCTGCCCCGGCGCCAGGCCAGGGGACCTGAGGCTGCGTGCCCCCCCCCCAACCCGGTGGGGCTTGACAAGGGTGGGATCAGCCGGGTCTGGATCTAGCCCAACTGTGGGGGTGGGGGCAGCCTGGTCTGGGTCTCGCATGATTTTGAGGCGCATGTGGGTGCGTGGGGACTTGACTCTGGGTCCCATGGTGCACCCCAGACTCTGACAGGAGGAAGATTTTCATATACATTTTATTTTCTTTCATCTCTGACACTTCTATTATAGAGAAAGGGCAAATAGCAATATTAAAATATTTCCTCTAATTACTCCCCTTTTAATGTGCATGAATTTCATGCACCAGGCCACTAGTTTCCTTATAACTTCAATAAGAAGGAGCTTTATCGAAGTTTTAATCTTTGCCAATCTGTTCTCAGATGACCCGGCAAGAACAAAGAGACTTCTAACCCAGCCCGGAACTTACACGCCTCACCACCAGGATCCATTAGGTCTGAGAAACACGGGGATGACATGACACACACCCGATCACCGATTGACCGGTTTCATAAGGCTGACCATCCTGTTCCCGGAACCAGCAATACATACACTCATCAAGACCTAACACCCCCACAGGGGCTCCACTTCCAGAACCACAAATCACCAGAACCCCCTTTGTGCTCCTTACCCACATTCCCTTTCCCTGATTCCCCTAAAACTTACACCTAATGAGCTTAAGGGGAAGGTGAATGTTAGGGTTTTTACCCGTCACCTTCCCAGATTTCTGGCATCTGATATTATTAAAAGCGCAAGAAAAATAAATAAATAAGTAAAGAAACCAGAAATGCTCCATTAATTTTGTACAATGTTGTACTACTTGTGGGATGCTTCTGATCTCAGTCAGTCAACTATTCATACACAATAAAAATAGAGGACATTTCTAGGGGGTGGAATCCTGGTTTACTGAGGCGATCAATTGATCATTGAAACAACAATTATTCATTTGCTTAACTTCTCTCTGTTCATTCATTAGTTAAACCTGAGTTAATCATTAACCATGTGCCCAACTCCAGGTGAGGTACTGGCAACACAAAGAAGAAAAGGTGCTGTCCCTTACCTGGAGGCTTTGCAGGCATAGTCGGCTTTAACTAGAAAGAGTGAAAGTAGCTTTTAAAACTCAGTAATCGGTGTTTTCTTCATCAGCATCTATGGCCATTTCTCCCATAATTCTTTGTACCCTAAGTTTTATAACTTGATAATAATGTGGTATGATGTTAAATTATTATTATGATAATAATGCAGTTACGAGTTTCCTTACATATATATATATTTTTAAATCCTCACCTGAGGATATTTTCCCATTGATTTTTAGAGAGAGTGGAAGAGAGAGGGAAAGACAGAGACAAATATCAATGTGAGAGAAACACATTGATTGGTTGCCTCCTGCGTGAGTCCCAACCAGGGCCCAGGCCGGGGAGGAACCTGGAACTGAGGTATGTGCCCTTGACCAGAATTGAACCTGGGACCCTTCAGTCCGCAGGCCAACGCTCACTAGGGCTCCTTATATACATTTTAATAATCTCATCAGGATAGCCTTGGAACCCCAGGACACCCTGTGAAGTATGATTATTCTGATTTTACTTAGGAGGAAAATGAGGCTCAGAGAGTGATTTGCACAAAGTCACAGCTACTAAGGGAGTATCTGGGATTGGGTTTAATGCAGGTCTGGCTGACTTTGACCACCTGTTCTGTCAGAAATAAGCAGAAAAAGTTTGGACCAAGATTTCTGCTTCTCCTTTGAATCCTGTACCAGAGGGGTCTGGGCATACTGTGGGTGTAAATACTTTTAAAAGAAGAAAGAGGAAAGGAAAGAATCAACAGAGTAAAAAGGCAACCTATGGAATGGAAGAAAATGTTTGCTAATTATATTTGTATCTGACAAGGGGTTAATATACAGAATATATAAGTTACTAACTTCTACAACTCAACACCAACAAAACAACTTGAGAAAATGGGCAACGAATGCCCTGGCTGGTGTGGCTCAGTTGGTTGAGCATCGTCCCAAGCACTAAGATGAAAAAATTCTAGACATCTGTTATATAGCACTGTGGTTATAACACTTTGGAACTGGACACTTAAAAAAGGTTAAGATGGTAAAATTTATGGGTTTTTTTTTTTACCACAATTTAAAAAAAAATTGTTTTAAGAACAAAGAGGAGAGCAGTCCGTGGTGCTCTCTTCACATCCGAATTTGTTTAGCTTAAAAAAAAATTTTTTTAAAA